TATATATATATATATATATATATATATATATTAATTAGACAACTTTATTTAATGTCAATTGGTTTTAAGATAGAATCTAACATAAATGTGTGTTTGATTTTCATTTCTTTCAATCTTTTCCATCTATGATATCCTACATATTTGCTTTATTGAAGGACTTTGAGCTGGATTAAGAATTTTTGTTGGTTGTTCTATATGATATTGCTTAGGGGAATGAATTTATGTTCATTTGAATTGAAAAAATCTATTCATTCAATTGTTGTGTGGATTGTGGTTATTCTCATTTTCATTTTACAGTTATGCTAACAAACTGTTAAAATTGAACACTTTATCAGATGAGAGAGATGGTGAAGAAGTTTAGATCATTAATAGAGGATGGAAATCTTGAAGGACTGTCTACAACTTTGAGTGAGTTAGAAAGTCTAGAGGATACACAGGAAGGGTATATACAACAGTTGGAGACCGAGCAAATGCTGCTTCTGAGCAAAATAAATGAACTGGGTCAGGAGATCATCAATTCTTCTTCCGTCAGTAGTAGTCCTTATCAAAGTGGAAATTGAGTATTGACCCTTGTCAGCATCATCTACCTAACGTTATTAGTATTTGATACTTTGATTTTCCCATGCAAAAATATTGCTTATGGGAATCACCAGGAACAGAATTTGTACATGCTTATCCAATTATTATTGTGTAGTTGCCCCGAACAGCGCAACGGTACATGTTTAATTGATCAATAAATTGCAATAGTTTTTTTTATATGTCTCTTTAGGTTGCTTAAATTAGAAAACATAAATTGTGAATTCATGAGTTCCATTTCTTGTAATACATTTCAGTTCACCCCTTCTTATTCTCTTATATCATCTCCCTTTTGGTGGGGAAAAAAATAGAGGAAAGTAAAGGGATTTTTATATTTTTGTTTATTTAATTAAAAAAAATTAAAAGGAAGGGGATGAAAAGTTATCCAATTATAAATTGTTTTATTAAAATATCTTGGTATAGTTCCACTGAGTGTGCGAATGGTGTTCATGTATCTATCTATCTCTATTTTGAGGATTCGGATTAGGTGCAATTACGTGCAGTTTAATAAATTTCTATTACACAATTTATCTAACGATTTACATTCTGTCACATCATTTCTTTTATATTAAAAGTAAAATTTCACATTTTGTATTCAATCAAAGATGGAAACGTTTCGGTAGATTCTCTTATGTAAACTCACAAAAAAATCTATAAAAAAAACTAATTTAATTATAAAATAAATAATTCAAATTATATTTATAAAATAAAAAGTAAGATAAAATTATAAGATTTCAATAATATTATAAAATATTAAAAAATTAATAATACTATAAAACATTAAAAAGAAAAGAATTAATAAATAATAGAAATAAAAAATTATTATAATATAAAAATTCAAAAATTTAAGATAAATGACAAAAATATACTTAAAAAATTATTAAAATCAAACTATTTAAATATATAATAACATTATTACAAAGAAAATTAAAACATATAAAATAAAAATAAAATTTCTATCACACAATTTATCCAACCTTTCACATTCAGTCACATCATTTCTTTTATATTAAAAGTAAAATGAAAAATTCTATGGTACTCATATTATTTGAGAGAGTACCGATACAGTTGTAATTATAATTTTATTTTATATTTTATATTTTTAATAATTTATTTAAATAATATTAATGATATTTTATTCTTTTATTTTTAAAATTATTTAATCATTTTATTTTTAATTTATATGTTTTAATTTTATTTGTAATAACATTACTATATATTTAAATAGTTTAATTTTAATAATATTTTAAGTATATTTTTGTCTTTTCACTTTAAATTGTTGAATTTCTATATTGTAGTTTTAATAGTTTTTTTTATATTATTTATTAATTATTTTATTTTTTAATATTTAGGCTTTAGGATTTATTTATATAATATTTATGATATTTTATTCTTTCATTTTTTAAATTATTTAGTCATTTTATTTTTATTTTATATATTTTATATATTTAAATAATTTAATTTTATTAATTTTTTAAGTATATTTTTGTCTTTTTAAAATTTTGAATTTTTATATTATAATAATTTTTTTACTTCTTTTATTTATTAATTTTTTTAATGTTTTATAGCATTATTAGAATCTTATAATTTTAATCTCTATAATTTTGTCTTACTTTTAATTTTATAAATATAATTTGAATTATTTATTTTATAATTAAATTAATTTTTTTAGAATTTTTATGAGTTTATATAAGAGAATGTACTAAAATTTGTCTATCTTTGATTTGTGAAATTTTATTTTTAATATAAAAAAAATAATGTGACAAAATGTGAATAATTGAATAAATTATGTAATAAAAATTTATTAAACTGTACACAAGTGCACTAAAACGTATCTGCACCTAATCCAATCCCTATTTTGATTCCCTGGAATCCATAAGGAAAAGAGAAAATGAAAGAAGGGAGGAAGCAACAGTGAACTGAAAATGCGATTGAGCATCACAAGTGCCTTACAGTCATCACTCCCACTCGCGTCACCCTCTTCTCTCAGAATCCGCATTCGCATTCGCATTCGCGCTCTCACCTCCTCTTCTCTCCCAACCACCCACGACCACCAAGACTTGTTCCACCCTCTCCCTCTTCCCACTCCCCGCCACGTCGACAGAGCCCCCAACGCCATCGAGAAAATCGCCCTCCGCTTGCGCAACTTAGGGTTAGCCTCCGCCGATCACTCTGATGCCAACGACGATTTCCTGAACCGCGAATGGCTTCGCCCCGACCACGCGCTTTTGCCCTGGGACAAGGAACAACAGGAGCAAGAGGAACGTCAGCCAAAGAAGAAGAAGAAGGTTAATGCGGCCACAGTGGCGGAGGAGGAGGACCTGCGTCGGTTGCGAACGCTTGGAATGCGCCTTAAGGAGAAGGTCAATGTCCCCAAAGCTGGACTCACACCGTCCGTGCTCCACAAAATTCACCATCGCTGGAGAAACTGCGAGTTGGTGAGGCTCAAGTTTCACGAGCTTCTTGCTCAGAACATGAAGCTGGCTCATCAAATTGTCGAGGTTCGTTATCAGTATAGTGTGTGCTTAGTTAACATTTGCAAATTTTATTTTGATTAAAATTGATATCCAAGTATTTTTTTTATTATTTTTATTCCAAAAACAAGTTAGTAGTAAAATTCAAATATTCCATATAAAAAACATGGTGATTTGTGCACACCTTTTTTTCTCATAAAATATTTTGTCTAACACAAGATCAATTTTAGACGCAGATTCAATCCTCCAATATTGAACCGAATGTGAACATTTACCTATAATCATGTTTACTGATATTTTAATATAAATCTAAACACGCACATAGTGTTGATGTTGGTAATGATATAATCGTGTTTTGTCTTGAGTGTTGAAGAAGTTGTCTGGACTGAGTTGTTGTAGCATTCTGCAGCATAGAACGGGAGGGTTGGTTATATGGAGGTCGGGAAGTGTTATGTGGGTGTACCGTGGGAGGAATTACCAAGGGCTGGCGCAACTGAGTATAAAGGAAGGTGGTGATCAAATTTCTGTGCCGGCAGATGGTGATGCCACATCATCATTGCTGGAAAAGAGTGCGGTAGTTATGTGGAAGGGGGAGAACATGACGCCAGAGGAAGTGGAGTTCAACAGGATGCTTGATGACTTTGGTCCTCGTTATGTTGAATGGTGGGGTACTGGAATACTTCCTGTTGATGCCGATTTGCTTCCCCCAACAGTTCCTGGTTACAAGACACCTCTTAGGCTTCTTCCTGCTGGAATGCGTCCACGGTTGACCAATGATGAACTGACAAATATGCGGAAGCTTGCTAAATCTCTTCCTTGTCACTTTGCCTTGGGTAATATTTATCTACTGCTCTATTTTGTCAAATTGGTTTTCCTTTCACTGATTTGAACCTTGTGCTTGTCTTTATGAAGGGAGAAATCGAAATCTTCAAGGCCTGGCATCTGCTATTCTTAGACTTTGGGAGAAAAGTTTAGTTGCGAAGATTGGTGTCAAGCGAGGCATTGTGAATACAAACAATGAACTAATGGCTCTGGAGCTGAAGGTTTGTGCCCTGTAATTTCCTGTTTGGTTCTAGTTGTTTGTGCAATCGAGCATGTGTAAGGTTGAATGCTTATGGACGAAGTACTGACTTTTGAGTTAAAAATTCATAATAGGCTGCAGAGCTGTTAAAATCAAAAAGGGTGAATGATTGAATGGATTATTAGAATTAATAGTGCATTTAACATATCAGAGGCCCCCTTAAGTCTTCAACACAATTGCGGTGCACAGAAAATTTTGTTTTTGTTATAATTTAAGTACCCTTTGAAGTTGTTGGCTATAGTTTAAGTAAATTTATAATTTGTTTATGATTGTAGTTAGTTTTCCTTTCATCAAGTTTTTCTGCTAGAAAATAAAAATATAAAGAGTAATAGAAAAGAATTGATATACTTCATGAACCAATATGTTTTCTCCAATTGTGCTCAAAACATCATTCACTTGGTAGTGTTGGTCTATTTTTATGTTATCGTACAAATGAAATATTATATTGAAGATACCAATCCAATTTCTTGCATTGAATCTATGTGTTGTAAATGCCAAGTTTTATTTGCATAGTCAAATAGTGCATTCTTTTGTTGTCAACTCTTTAATTTCCAAGAAGAGAGAAAAACAGTAGTTGTGTTGATTTGAATACCAGGAAACTGGTTTGTTTTTCTTTCATGGTGCAGAAATTAACAGGAGGTACCTTACTGCTAAGAAATAAGTATTACATTGTAATATATCGCGGGAAGGACTTTGTTCCAACCAGTGTGGCCGCAGTTATTGCTGAAAGACAGGAATTGACAAAACAGGTGCAGGATGTCGAGGAGAAAGCCCGGTGCAAAGCTCTTGATGTAGCTCCATTAGGGGAAGGTGAATTGACAGCACAAGCAGGATCATTGGCTGAGTTCTATGAGGCTCAGGCATGCTGGGGAAGGGATATATCTGCAGAAGAACGGGAGAGGATGATGCAAGAGGTTGCCAAAGCTAATAATGCTAAGCTTGTCAAAAAAATTGAACGCAAACTAGCTGTTGTAAGTATCTACTTGTTTTGTGAAGGTTATATGCTTGGGAAAGTAATTGGGTTGTATTGAGAGTACCTTTCTTGTTGCCTGTTGGAATCAATCCGGAATAGCTTGCTTCATACTTTCACTGGGAAGAGGCTTGTTATGTGTGCATAATTAGTCTGCAAATTGCTGTTAGATTGTTGCTGTGTCGTGATAAGTGGAACTGTTGAGAATTGAGAGGTCATTATCTTCTTGGGCTCTGATCTCAATGCAAGATCTTGACTTGGTAGAGTTATATACTGTGACCTTTTTTCAGGTTTCCAAACAATTAGGATGTTATGTTTTAGTCTTTTAGGGGCTATTGTTTAGTGGTGAAAGCTTTGATATTGCTAGGAACTTTCAATAACTTGAGCAGAAAAAAGCATTTAACAACCCTGTGATCTGTAAAGTTTGGCTTGACATCAAGTGCCTTTTGAATCTTAGAAATATGGCAACTTCATTGTGTATATTAATCCTTAGTAAAACTCAGCATCTGATATATTAATGGAGCTATGCCAAGACCAGAGGCAATAAAAAGGGCCCAAATAAGCATTGATAGGACTTAGGAGGTAGGCCTCGGGTTGGAATTTAACTTATCATTTTCCTTAGTTGGTACCGGGGTACCTGCTTGTCTGCTTGCAGTTTTATAAAGTTAAATTTGGATTTTTAACTTATCTGAATTTTAAAGCCTGAATCAGCTGACTATGTCTTATGTCAACTCTACATGCTTATACAGCAAATTAGCCGGATAAAAGAAGATATTTATAACTCTTGTATTTTTTAGTTTTAATTTGCTTTATTTATATTTAAAAGAAAATTCTAAATGCATGAACAGGCCCAGACCAAAAGGCTTAGAGCAGAACAGCTATTAGCTAAACTAGAAGCCTCATTGGTTCTAGCTGGTCCTGATCATGACAAGGAAACAATCACAGATGAAGAACGCATTATGTTCCATTCAGTTGGTTTAAGAATGAAGGCATACTTGCCACTTGGTGGGTGATGTTCAGCTGTATAAGTTTGTATATTGCAATGATGCAGTTCTAACAACTTTTTATGATAATCTGCAGGTATACGTGGTGTTTTTGATGGTGTCATTGAGAATATGCATTTGCATTGGAAACATCGAGAACTTGTTAAATTAATAACAAAACAAAAGACCCTTGCTTTTGTTGAAGACACGGCTAGGCTACTTGAATACGAGAGTGGTGGAATACTTGTAGCAATAGATAAAGTTCCTAAAGGATTTTCTCTTATTTACTATCGTGGAAAGAATTATAGGCGACCTATGACTCTGAGGCCTAGAAACCTTCTAACAAAGGCAAGGGCATTGCAGCGTTCAATAGCCATGCAACGGCATGAGGTTCCAATTTTTTATATGAAAACTACAAATCTATTTTTCTTTTTGTGTATATGTGGTGTCACATTTGATATTGTATGACTCGTGCAGGCTCTGAGTCAGCATATAACTGAACTGGGGAAAAAAATAGAAGAAATGAAAAAAGAACTTGTAAGTATTGACTTATCATAATTTCTATAGTTGTATTTACCTAAAATGGTTAGTTGGTCGCATATCCAGTAAATTGAAGAGAGTGGGACAAGGACAACTCGGCCCCTCCGTGTCTCATTTTGCATGTTATGTTCTGGATTACAGAATCTTCGGTCAATCATATTGATTTAAACCTTTCAGCCTTCTTTGCTTAGACCGACTGACTGACATTATGTCAACTGTCGAGTGTTATTTTCTTGAGCTTGTGTAAATTTTCAATTACAGACATCTTATTTTACGGTCAGCGAAGCTCTAACCCTACATTTATGGGAATAGTTTTGTGATTCTTTTTCTTTTTTAAATTAAAAGCAGTATTGAATCCAGTATATTATTATCCACATCTTTCTAACCCTGTCTCTATTTGTTAAAATTTTCTCTAGTTTGTGTGTACATTCATAATTACAAAGTTGTCCATTCATGCATCGCAAACTGTGTCATATTTTAAGCTTTTTAAGTAGTTCAAATGTGATGCAGTACTGCCTCTTTTGTAGTTATTCAACATGTGGATTTGACCTTTGCTGAAATCATCAACTAACACCATTTTTTTTGAATGGTTAATATTTTTATTTATTATATGCTCTGTCTTGCCTTTTTCCTATTGTTAGCATTTAAATATTTCTAGAATTTCAGTGTGCTCATGTATATGTGATTATTATATTTACCGTTGACATAGTGACCCATCAGCATCAGGTTTAAGGTCTGTATAACAATTCATCTTAATTTAAATTATCCATAGGGTTTGTCTCAAAATTTGGGGCCTGAAGATCGAGGGAATGTAGAGGACCATAACGAAATAGACCATATATCAGAATTCACCCACGTAAGATACCCCTTGTCTCTCCTTGATCTATTATGGAAAAGTTATCAAATAATTTGTAATTTTCATTTTAATATGAAAATTAATAACACCTGCATATAATATTTCCTCGTAATTGTAATTAAGTTTCTTATGAAAGATTTAGATACTGTGGGATCTTATATGCAAAATCCCTAGTGTGAGATTCTTATAACGTCAATTTTTATTATCATACAAAAAAGAGGGTAAGGATGAGAAGGATTGACGAAAACAAACTAAAATAATAAAAAAATGGGTTTTAATCACAGTGATAATTAATCATCTACTGGCGGTTGTTTTGCAGAGTGAAGTTGAATACTCTTATGGAGATGACAATGATAGTGATTTCAGTGACAAGGAATACAGCGATTCTAATGACGAGGATTGTGAATTTTAAAACTTTAAAAATGAGATTCCTACAAAGACAGGTTGACATTTTGCAATAAAGTTCCTGGATGACATCCACCATTGCCTGCAGCCAGCTAGGTATCAACTTTATTATTGATCACTTGTAGGTTCATAACTTGTTTTCATATACTGAATTTTTTAAAAGAATTATCTTCTCAAATTTTCTTAATCAGATGAGGCATTTTTTTCTTTTATAAAGCCAACAGCATTATAAGAAGTTGAACCCTTGAGTGTGTTCTATTTATCAGTAATTTTC